AAAAGAAAATAACCGATTCTGTCGATGAATTTCTAAACACGCATCAGTTCGGAAATCTATCAAATTGTTTCGAAGTCGCCAAAACTTGGATCAATGCTCCGCAATCGTTATTAACGATTGGTATCATTCTCATGTACCATAAAAACGGATTTAAAGAAGCAGATGATATCTTCCGCAAGATTCTTGAAGATGGACACGAGTTCGGTGGTGAAGCGTATTATTATAGAGCTTGTATGAGAATGAGAAACTTCGATGGAGTTCGAAAAGAAATCCAATCGTTGAAGTTAACACAAGAGCTTGCGTTCAAAGAGAATATCGATGAAGCAATTGAATACTTTTACAAAGCACGAACATTGTTTCTTCGTCGTTTGCAACGAAAACACAATGAAGCAGCCATTGTTACTCAAATGATGGAGAAATTGCCGGTCAACAGCTCAAAATCATCGGGATATGCATCGCAGCTGAAATCTGCCACAACTTATATACAATTAATATTGACTAATATCGATTATCTTCTTGGCGCGCCATGTCACCCAACAATGTTCGCAGATAACGAGATTAGCGAAGCATATTCGAAAGAAATTCATGATTCATTGTGTCGACAAGGCTTGGTTAGTCCAGTTGTCCTTACCGGTCGATCAGCGGACAATTGGCAACTCGAGACTTTCCGTCGAAAGTACAAATTGCACCGAAAACAAATCGAAGTAACTAAAATCGACTTGAGATACAAGTTTTTGAACTTCTCTTTTCAAGACTTTGATAGATGAAATCTCCAAAGATCCGACATCGCTCGCATTCAATGACTACATTGTTCTTGACCGATCGAGTCTTCTGGATAAATGTCCTTTATCAACGAAAAGTGACTTTTGGTTCGAATTAAAGGTACAACAAACCCTTTACAACGCAGATGTTTATTTGATGATTATTGATCAATCAGTGTTAAGTAAAGAACTTCTGGAAAAGTTCAAACAACTAAAACCATACTCATTGACGGATCCTAAGCAGGTCAAGACTCTATTGCGGTACTCTGACGAGACAAAAATGGATCAGATGTACAAGTTGCGTGATGTTGAAGCTCTGCTTGAAAAGAATGAAACGTTGAAAAGTGAAATCTACCAACATGTAGACAAAGGAAAACTAAAATTAGATAAATTGGCAAATATTTTAATCATTCCTGAGCGAATGTCATATTTTTCGGATTTTGATGGTGTGACAATCGATGATATCAAAGAATATTTCCATGTTGATGATGACGGCGTGAAGTGGATTATGAGTATTTTACAACAGAATGAAATTCTTAAACTTCAAACAGTACAAATGACACGATTGACCAGTGATCAGAATACCTGGCAGAGATTAGTAAGAAGTCATTTGGAAAAAGACGCAAAACCGCCTGCAGAAAGCGATCGAATCGAATTGAAACTACTCTATCAAAATGCTGGTAGACTTCAGCAGATTAAAGATCATCGAAAATTAGTGAATGTGACCGAAGAAGTCATAGCTGCATATTGCGAAGTTCCATCGAAACCCGACAAAGAAGAAACAATCAAAAGATTCTATACTTATCTAACAGAAAACAAGATATTAGAACCTTACCATTACAAGATTTGGCGATTGAATTCCAAACTAGATTGTTCATCACTTCCATTGTGTATCGCTGATCAAATGGATGAATTTTTGTCTGATCGATTTGCGTATACCTTTGCTCTGGAGAATATCTGTATTTCATTGGAAAAAGCCAATAAAGATCCTTCGGCAGGTCCAGCACGTATCTTTCTACCGGAAAATCCATTCGGTGAAGTATTCGACGATTTCATCAATTGTGGACTTGCAATGCCATCAAGAATCTGTGTTTCTTCACAGTATATGGATGATATTGACTATGAGGATTTTCGTCATGCCGAAACGATCAAATCGATTGTTCACTCGAATCGATTGAAATTGTACGATCAAACGGATTATCATATGGAAATGACTCCATTTGCAACTTATGTTCTTGATCAAGGTTTTCCAATTGATTCCGATTTACGGAACATTATTAGCAATGGATTGAAAGTGGTTGTGTCGCGCAAGAAAGAAACAGCTGGTCCATGGCTATTGAACAAAGTCATCGCTGGCGCTGCTTATTGTTGGAAAGCAATCAAATCAGCTGTAAATGCTGTGCTTTCGTTTGGTTACTCTGTCGTTCAATTTACTCTTCAACTTCCAGGTAAAGTTTCTGATTTGGTTCACATCGATACATGAGTAGTTGTTTTTAGGAAAGATATACAACAAGATAGCTGATTTTGCAGCACCGTATGTAAAACAAGCAGGTGAAATGATTTATCGAATAGCTGAGCCACTTTTGAATACGAAAGTAGGCAAAGCAGCAGTGGCAACTATGCAGTTTGCTAAGGAAGCTGTCGTTGAAGGTGTTTATAAAACAGTTGAAGGCGCAGAATGGCTCATTGACAAAGGAAGTCAAGCGGTAAATTATGTTGCGAAAAAAGCGACCGAAGCAGTGAATTGGTTGGGAGAAACAGGTGTTGTCAAGAGTGGAATTGAGTTAGCGAATCAATTCGGATCATGGGTTTCGTCAACAGCGATATGGAAATCAGCAGCTGAGATGGCAACGTTCATTTACACGAAAATGAGCAATTTTTGTACAGCTGCTTCGGAAAGTTATCATTATTACAACCAATGCCGAACAATGGCCCGACGAATTGCTATAGAAAAATACGAACTTACTGATGAATATACAATTTTGAGAACATTTCATGATATATCTCGAGAAGAAGCAAAAAACAATGCGAATAATCTGAATACAGACGAAGTGAGTTACCNTGAGATGGCAACGTTCATTTACACGAAAATGAGCAATTTTTGTACAGCTGCTTCGGAAAGTTATCATTATTACAACCAATGCCGAACAATGGCCCGACGAATTGCTATAGAAAAATACGAACTTACTGATGAATATACAATTTTGAGAACATTTCATGATATATCTCGAGAAGAAGCAAAAAACAATGCGAATAATCTGAATACAGACGAAGTGAGTTACCCTACACTCATTTTCGAAATGTTTTTTTCTTTTTTTCTCTAGCTTATTCGTAAGAATATCGAATCTTGGCGAATACCTTTAGTGGAATCATTGATGTCGACTGTTCAGGCTAAACTTCAACCATTGTCCAATGATAAATATACAATTGAGTTTGTCAAATCATCATTGAACAAAAGTTTTGCAGTGAAAGATCTTGAAAGCGAAATCAATAGTTTAATCAACTTTTTCGCATGGAAAAAGCAAATCTTATACTTTCAAACAATTCAAGCAGCTTTCCGAACGGAAACGTCATTGGAAAAAATCCAATTCTCGCCAGTTGAAGGAGTTCCAAAGGAAATCCAATTCTTTGTTGTTGATGGCGTTGATCAAGTTTTGGAAGATCTGCAAAAACGAATGACTGATGAAGGTTACAAATCAGAAGATAACGATAATGAAATCTTCATTGATTCAGGTGAATACCGAAATTGGAAAGATATTCTCCAAGCAGTCATACAGAAATTCGTCGCAAACGCAGTTAATTCAATGTTTATTTCCAAAACCATCTCCATTATTCTGAATTACATTGCAAGTTTACGCGATGTAACCACTCCGTCGTCAGAAGCAGAGCTGAATTTCAATCAAGATGATAAAAATCTTAAACAAGCACTTCTCGAATACAAAGCTACAAATCAATCAAAACGAAAAACACAATTCTTAATTTCAGAATTACATTCGATTATCGACAAAGTCGTTACAAATGGAGATCCTCGTCAACATAAGAAGATCCTTCAAACGGCTATCAAATATGGTTATCCACTTCCTCTTTCAGCAGCACCATTCATTGCAATTGCTATGGATAAATACTTAACGAAATCAGGAATATACAAGGCTGGCATTGATCTTCAAATAAAGGACAACGAAGGAAAATTTCTAGTGGAGTTCAAAACCAGAAGAGAAGAAACCTATAGCAATAATTTAAACAAAGGAAAAGTTTATATGCGACAATTTAATGGATCAGTTTTTCTTTGTCAATCGGATTACCGTGCTTGTATTGGAATGTTGGATCAAATGCATGACGAAGTCGATCAATCTTTCTTTTATGAAGCTTTTACAGGATATTTAAAAAATTCGCTGAAATTTCCTCGACAAGCAGAAAGTTTACGGGAGGGAATTTTGGAGGAAATCGAACTTTTATGAAACATTCAAGTCTTTTGTTTTGTTTCTCATTTTGATTATTTACACATCAGTAGTGTAGAAGTAGTGAAAATCATCATTAATCATAATAAATCTAGATTCTCAGTGTTTATTGATTTGAATAATAAAAAAACACGTTCTTTTATTGCATAAAAAACTTTATCGGCTACAATGGGACCAGTGTATCGTTTTATTCTTTGCTGTTTTCCCATATTCGTCGATGTTCTTCAGTCCACCAATCATGACTCGGTGGAACACCGTTTAGATTTGGAACATCTTCTGATTTATCTACCGCTTCATCATAGTCTGGTCGTATCCAATCGGAAATATCCGAATCGAGCATATTATCTGATGTTTGTAACTTATCGAGAGCACTCTGCATTTCTGTTGTTAATTCCTTTCCATTGATTTCTTTGTATAAATCAAGAAGTTCATTTTTCAGAAACCATATTTGTGATCGTCGTGTTCGAGCGATATTCAAATCGGATGGTTCGATATTGCCTACAAGTCCCGGAGTGTAATCAACCAGTTTAACGAAGCCAGTTGGAAAGTATTGTTTGAAAGTAGTTTTATCTTCATCTGTGAGCATTTGTCGATAATCAGGATGAGCAGAAAGACGACGTCCAAGCTCATAAACTGATGTATACAATCGCAATGCATTTGAATAACCATATTCAACTTCCTTAGTTAATATCGACAGATAATGCAATCGACTGAGAAATTCTTTGACAACACGTTGCATATCAGTACATTCAGTTGAGGACATGACCCTATCTGAAACGAATGAAGAGTATAGAAACGTAAATGAGCAGATCTCGGAGATGTTCGAAACTATAATCAATCGAGAACGAAGTGAGACAATGTTCGCATTTCACTGAACATCGAAGTATGAAAGTCTGACTAAATTTCAGTAAGACACATTTCGTAGGCGAGTAACTGGTATCTTCAAAACAAAAAAGTTTCAAATATACGAATCAGATTCCATTGCATAAAATTATTTATTTTCATTCTAGAAAATGCTTGTTTTGTCACCGAGACAACATTCTCAAGGGGTACTACATGAAAATTCTACGAAATACGATTAGCAAAAGACAAAAAGCTTATAAATATTATGCAAATACTGTTTGAACAACATTCCAAGGTAAATTGCATTGTAAAGAATAAGAACGAGAAAGCTGGATCGGATAGACATTTGATAATGTAATATTTTGCTGCACAGTGAGTCATTGAGTTTTTACACAACTTTGTGTTCATCTTGAGCTTTATGACTAAATTCATAATCAAGATGGACAAATGCCTAAAACACAAAGAAAGACATCAGTCAAAAATGTACGTCGGAAATCAATTCAATACTCGTTCGACTTCCGGAATGCGTTCAATTTTCTTTTGTAATGCTTCGCCGATATCATGAGCATCTCGAAGTGACATATCTTCTGGAAGGACAATATCGACCTAGAAGAATTCATAAAGTAACAAGAAATCGAGAATGAATTGACAAGATACCTCGACGAGAAAGTTAGTACCGAAATGAAATGCACGAACTGTGTCAATTTTCAAGATTTGAGGGGAATGATGAAATGCAACCCATGTTATCTGTTGAAGAAACTCCGGTTTAGCCGTATGTCCGGTCAACCGTTTCACTTGTTCTATAAACCCCGAGAAAAATCAAGAAACCTTTTAACCAACTCGATCAAACTTACGACTGGCTTGACGAACCCAAGTTACTAAGATATAGATCGAAACAACAACAGCGCCAATAGGATCAGCCAATATGAAATATTGTTTCCAATTTCCGACGAGTAATCTTGCATGAGAGCCTAGACAAACAATATAGATGAAGTAGACAGTTAAATGGAAAACCGACCAGCAACACCACATATGAGTGCAATAACATTCGAAAACACATCGTTCCGATGATCTTGTGCTAACGCATTCAATGTCACACTACTTTCACGAGAACATAATATAAACAGAACCAGTTTTGATACTAAAAATATCAGAGATCATTTCTATGTAAGAAAAATATCTTTCATACCGATTGTTGTACACATGATGCTTATTGGAATTATTCTCATGTCGAGTTCATGAAGATTTTTCGAGGTTTCTGATAAGTTGCCTCGAAATGCATCGACATCCTGCGCAATCGTTTGTAAAGATTCGGAAATGACCATAACACTAGCTGAACTCATGATAACCGAAAGAATTACGATGGAGATTGGCTCAAGTCGTCTTCGACCTGAAATTATCGATTTATAGGAACAATTTTATAGTGAGAAAGGGAATCGATTTGCTGTTTTACCTATCGGATACAAAACTCGATCAGGTCGATTCATTGCGTGTGTTGCCCAAAACAGAATCACACTTGTTGTCAGATCAACACCACTATCCACTACAGAGGAAATCACTGACAAAGAACGAGAGAGTATAGCCGCAGCAATCTTCATCGCAAGAAGACACTAAAATGATCATTTCGATGAGAGATCGATGCCAATTATACTAAATAGACTTACAATGTTAACTAGTAATGATAGTTTCGTGTAGAAACTGATTCGTTTTCGTCGAATGATGACATCCTGTTTGTCTTTCTTGTTGCTTTTGTCTCCATGATCTTCATCTTCATCTTCGTCATCCTCATTGTCGCTGTGTTTATCGGAGTGAAGACGATGGACACGTTCAAATGTTGAAATAAGTTTATCCTGTTTTTTGTAAAAGCTCCTTTAAACAAAGATTCGGCACATAAATTTCGATTTTTTGCTCCTACCGGACTTTCTTCGGTAAATTTTGATCTTCCGCTCGTTTTCCTCGACGACGAGCAGTTATTTCTTCCATGGAATATGCTGGTGGAGTCTCTATCGAATTCAAAACGAAATAATCAATCTCAAAAAGAAGAAAATCAGTATTTCTCTAACCATGTTCAGCATCCTTTTCACATTCCGTGCGTTCAACACTTCGTCTATGCAAAGTCGCTAGAAAAGAAAACACAGTATCATCAATAAGTTGAAATCTCTTCAAGAAAAATAACATAAAACATAACTACAAATCGTGCAAACGATAAATCAAAACGAAAAACAAACAGAAGCGACAACATGATAATATATAGTCCATATATATTAGAAAAAACTTACTAGAATTTGTTCGTGGTAGAAGAACACTGGAAAGAAATGTATTTATGAAGAACAAATGTGTGAAAAAAAATGAAAATCTTAAATATGAACTTCAGTTTTATCAGAGTCGAACTCGTTAAACTTGTTGAAGTGTCGATAAGTGTACTTAAAACTAAAACGAATTTTCTTGTTGAACTTACACAGTCTCCGTCGACTCAGGATTGATTTGCATCACTGGGAATGTTTGACCAGCTTGTGCTTCTAATGCCATGATAGATTCCATGTGCAAATGTTCCCGAGAGAGAAGAGAAAAACAATGTTCTTAAAAAAAGAACTACTAAATCTTCTTGACTATTTACATTAACCGACCAATCATTGATGTTCTCTATAGTTTCGGTATTTCATGGATTCAGTTGTTCACTGTTCATTCACAGTGACTACTTATTTCTTCTTTGTGTCCAAATAAAATGCAACGTCCACCTTTACCAACTCCAAATCGTAATCGTTCACGTCCACAACAAACCCCGACATCTCATCAACGTGGTCTTGTTCGTTTCAGTACACCTAAAGCCTCACCACGTCGTTCTCCCGCTACCCAAATAACTCAATCAAACAATGGGACTCTGTGGGAATCCTACGGTGTCGATGAAAACTCTCTGACAATACGTTTTCTATATTCAAACCTTCTTTTACTCGGTATTGAATGTTCACCTATATTCTGTCGATATCGAACCGGTCAACAGCAACAGCAAATTTCCATCGATGAACTTGCCAATTCCACTGAATTGATTCGACTTGTCACCCATTTTCTTCTTCTAACATATCTGTCAGATGCACAACAAGCTCAATATTCACGTGATACAACTCACTGTTTTCCACCAATGGCAATCGATAAGCAACAAGAATTCAATCGCATTGTGAAACAACATTTCAAATCATTGGTTTGCCTATTTGCATCTCTCAAGCACAAAACTTCTTGAACTTTTCCTTTAGTCTGACATTTATCAACAATATCCATGGCCACAACTGATTCCGGTTCCATCATGTTCACCACGTTACTTCATTTGTTTATTTTATCTCTCCCAAATATGTCTGATATATCGATTAGAACCAGTCGATGTTCAAGAACGATTTTTCACTACTGAAAACTTTCTCAATATGGATTTAACAAAAGAACGTCTCAAGCGACAAGTTCGAATGGTCAAAGCAGATACTCAACGACATTATATGATGTTGTTTAGCAAAATTGCCAATGAGAAACGTGAACGAATTGAATATGAAAAGACGAAAAATGAATTAGATGAACGAATTAACAAATTAATTGATTATCTCGAAAAGATTAAACAGAAAACAGAAATTATCGACGGTAGATTTAACCATCGATCTCCTGCTTTGATAATTTTCTTTCATTTTTTTCATTTCAGGTTCATTTGATCAATCACAAATCATTGATGACAATCAATTTGAAATCTTTTCGAATTTAGTTCAAGATCTTCATACAAGAATCAATTCAGATACTTACAATAAACTAGAATGGTTCATTAAACATGGACTATCAACATCTTTGCCATCAATGGGCGTTGATATTGGTCTATTACCAACAACTCATCAACAAATTCACGATCTTGTCAACAAACAAGAAAACAGTAAGATTTTCTTTGAAAAACAAAAACAAATTTCCTATGAAAATCGTTTAGTATCGGGTCGAATCAGTCGTTTATATCCAAAATTCACCGAAACAACAACATCATCATCATCGCACTCAACAAATGTCAGTTTAACTGATTTCATCCAAGCAGCAAGTATTTGCTTAGAAAAGCGTCTAGCATCTCACACATCTTCCGACGAGAATTTTGCAAAACTTAAATTAGCTCTTGAACAAATGCACACGATTATCGAACGAACCGAACAAGTCCACAAAACATTAGACCATTTAGAACATTTACCAAAACACATCAGTCGAGGTTCTATCGATCAACCTGAACAAAAGACACCATTCGATCATATCGCAACACGATTTTATCTTTCAATCGATTGTGGACAACAAGCGAGAGAAATCTTTCGTGAACAAATGAGTAAACAAACGCCAAGTTCGTTTGTGACTTGTTGTAACACAATTGCAACACTAAGTGCCGATGATTCAACAAGTGATTTCATGAATGATGATACAACAATCATTCGCTGCCAAGTTTCAACAGCCAAATCTGTGTTACCAAATACAGATGAAGGAATGTTGAAAGGTTTAGAATGTCTTTTACTCAGTGAACCAACATCTACAGGTGGAGCGACAACAATATCGAATGAAGATGAATCCTTTCTTAGTCTTGAACGAGAATGTCGAATGGAATCGGAAACTTTACTTGATCAATCACAAGCGAAGACTATTGTCGAAGTGAATGTGAATTTCGATGAGAAAATGGAAGATGATTATGCAGAAAAAGAAAATGTTACACCAATGCAAATCAATTTGCAGAAAAATGATACAATATTCGATAAACTTGATGATAATATTCATTTCATTTCTCCTATTATCTCAGTACCACTTGGACAGTAAGACGTCTTGCTCATTTCTTGCTTAGTTTACTTCTATTTTGATTTAGACAAGAACCTATTATGCCGAAATTACTCGAACAAATTGATACAATTGATCCTTATTAAAATAGTAAAGTTCTCCAGTCAAAAATACACAATATGTTCCTTTTGTCGTTAAATGTCTCAAGTCCGACAATGATCTTTGCTCTTTTCTCTCTCTCAATGCCACATCTAATCTTGTTGTTCTCTTCAATTCAAAATAAATCTTCCTTTTGATAATATTTTCACACTAACAGTACGAAAGACAATCCTGTCCGTTCGGATGAAATTTTTCAACAGAAAAAAATGATCAATTAACTTTAAATCTTGTCTATTAGATGTATTTGTTACACTACGTTACTCAGAGACTGACTACTCTTATGTATTTACTATTTAGTGAAACAGTGTCATCTATTGGCGGAAACTCTAGTTGGTCGTTAAAGTTTTAAGAGGAGAAATCTGCTTGGAAAATATTGAAAATACGTTTTTAATAAAACCATCATTATAGAAAGACGATTTCCTCGAAAGTGAACCGAATGCCGGTGATATTTGCAAATTCTCATTCTCGTCCACGTTGTTTTGAAGATTTACCTGACGAAATTTTATTGTCAATCTGTCGTTATTTATCCCCAATAAACATTCTCGATAGTTTTCTTCATTTGAACCATCGTCTTCATCGAACGATCGTGTCCTATCGAGAAAAAATCTATTTATCTCATTTATCTAACAAGGAATGCTTTCATCTTTTAAACGATCATTTACCTAATCTCGCTCCGACTGTTTCATACTTATACCTCGATACTTGTTCAATGTTGAACATCGGACGCAGTTTCGAAAACAAATTCAACCGGATTGATCAACAATTTCCCTCTCTTCGTCAACTGATCTTCCGACAGATCGATATCGAAACATTAGAGAATCTTGCTTGGCGGTTTAATACCATGAATTGCTTGCAGGAACTCGACATTGACATCGGAGAAGATCGTTTGGCATCACTACCTACACAATTCAACGAATATCTCTGTGGGAAATTATTCAGCATGTCGAACTCATTTCAAAAATTACGATTACATTTTAATAATTATTATTTTAATCTTCAATCGATCAGAACCAAATGCGAAAAACTTCGTTGCTTAACAATATCTGTGAAGACATTCGAAGATCTGTTGATTATTTTCGAATACTTTCCGAATCTCGAGCAATTAGATGTGACATTCGCTTGCGATTCGGCATGTTCAGAACAGAATAATCATTACTCATTCGGACAGCTTTGGTGGAAAGTTCCTTATTTAACTTATTTATGTTTAAATCTTGAACAAAAAGAATTGAATTCGCACGATGATGTTATATCCAATGAAATTCTCCTTAAAACCATTTCGAATATTTTCTCCTTGATTTGTGTCAAATTTCGAATGGATCTTCGATTCAAATCTTCACTCACATTAACAACAACGAGGGAAGTGTATGTAAATAAATATTTTCCATATGTTGACGGTTCATTATGGCAGCATGCTTTGCAAAGGCAGGATAACCACCATCCGGTACATTTTGAATTACATGTCGAACTCGATGGAATTGGAAATCATCGATATAAAAACATCCTGGAACGAGAATCGTGTTTCACAGCACAAAACAATGGTAATATTTTCTCCTATTTTCCAAATTCGAATGCGAAGAAGTCTCTCTCGAGAAAAAGCAACATAGATACATTTCTAAATCATATTCACTACTGTTTTTCGAGATTAGAAAGCCACTTACTCATATCCTTACTATTCAGATACCCCAAACGTGTTTCCATCAATGCTGAAATGATTTCTTTTCATCTTTAGACATTGATTTCTATTCATTTCTCAAGCCAACATTCTCAAATGCTTATTGGTTACAAAAGAATCTTGATATTCAATGTGTAACCACCAATTCGAAGCATGTTTCAATCTACACAATCCCATTAGTCACATCATCCCTTTCGACAATGGTCGATACAATCGATAAAGTTATCTCGGTGAACTCTTTCCCATCAAAATTTCACCAAACAATTCAACAACTTCACATTCATTCCGACGTCGGTATCTCCTCACCAAAATTACCGATAAAAAATCTCTTCGCCAAAATGCCTTATCTCGTTCATCTCCATACCGATATGGAATTTATTTTTCCTCCAACAATTGTTTCCTGTTCGAATTATTTAACTTCCTTATCACTTCAAAATTATTCTCTTCTCTCTTCTTTCACGTTACTTAGTTATTTGCCCAATGTCAAAACGCTTTCACTCACAAATTTCTATTGTTCAAAATCAATGCTGAAATCGAGTTTAAAAACAATTTCTTCAGTCAAACGATTGAAAATTGTTTATAATCCGACTGATGTACACAACTTAACGTACATCACGGAATATTTCCCGAATATTGAAGAATTTTCTCTTGTGGTGTCACATAGTAACAATCGATTAGTTCTAGAGTATGGACAGCATGAAAAATATGACTTATTTTTGAAGGATTTCCAGTTTTTACGTTTTATTGAGCTTGTCGTACCAGCGAAAGCCGATTCATTTCCATTCCCTAGATGGAGACAAATTCTAGATTCAAAACAAGCAATTTATGATGAAAAATCGCAAAATGGTCTGCTGGTATTCAAATCCTGGTTTTAAATTCAGCGAAAGAACAGTTCTTCATACTTGTAAATAGTCTCTTTCATTCCCAACGATTTCTTTACAGTTTTGTGTATAAAAAAAATTCTATTTTGTTTGTCCTTATCTATATATATATGATAAAATCTAATCCTTATCTGTACATTCACATACGCAAATACCTTTTAAAGGAAATATTTACGTTCACAACGAAGATAAGTGCATAATCATATCAATGAAAACTTTTAATACTCGAAGATCTTCATTTTTAAGAGATTAAAGATAGATTTGATTGATGTTCGCATGTGTGTAATACAATTTGAATTTACTGCAACACTTCATGTCGTTTACCTGAGACTTTTCATTTGATTTCATAGAAAAATAGGAGCCAACAACGACAAACGAAAAGTATCACTGTGTACATACAACAAAAAATGTTTGAAAAAAAAATAAAGAGAAGAGCAAAGCAACAAATTATACATCATGACTTCGGTGAAAGAAAGATGTTGTTGATGTTAAAGTTGTTTTTGGTCGTGCTGGTTCTTGGACACTTCCTGTACTGATCAATCGAACAGATGTTGAACCACTCGATATACTATCGTCAATATAGGGTAGTTCATGTTCATTGCGTTTCTTTGTAGTTAGATAAGTTGTCGCATAAGGTGATGGACCTTTCAAATTTAATATAGAAGGCGATGGAAGCGAAGGAGGTAGATGTGTAGGAACGGAAAGTGTAGGTTTATTGTATGGGACTATTGTATCAGATTCTAAGGAAAATTCGACATTTTTATAACGAGGTGTTGTCGATGCCGAAGAGTCCATGTGTATTTCTGATGTCTGACGAATATCTTTGAGAAGAGGTATTAACGAACTGCGTAGACGCTTTTGTCCACTAGGAGAATGAGTTGGTGTAGATTTGACTTCAAGATGTTGAACTATTGGCTGCACAGTTTCAGGTTGATCTGTTGATAATTTCGTGGATGTTTCGTGTGCAAGTGATATTCTTCCTTGTCGAGGATTTGGTACTGGTGGAATGTCAGGTGCGATAGTTTGATCTGTACTTCCATCATCATCATCATCATCATCATTGTGTTTACTTTCTTCAAGATTGTCGTCTAATTTCTCCATAGAAATCGGTTTAAACAACGGTTCTCGACCAATCATATGTGCATCTAATGATCGGTGAAAAACTTGATACAATTCAATGATAATCTTTCGACAAACATAATCACTGACATTCGAAGTGATTAAATGCAACATGAATATTCCATCGCCTTGTAAGTATTGATTCACAAATAGGCGCTTGTTTTCGATAGTATGGTTTTGTTCATCGGTTAGAAAATGCCATGTCAATCGTCGTTCGAGATAACGAAAATTACGACGTGGAGAAATACGATAAAACCAAATCAAAATCGAGAAAAAGTTACACAATGAGAGAATAATCAACCAAAAGTAAAGATAAGTGAAAATTTGTTGATTAAATAGATTAAATGGCAAGACACATTGGACTGTGTATCGATGAGCTTCTTTGGGATGATTCGGTTCACGAATACTGAAATCACATAGAACCTAAAAGAAAGAGGTTTTCTTTTATATATTAAATGATTTCTGCGTGGTAAACCGCGGTTTAACTAAACATCTTTTCCTCAATTAACCTTTTCCTTTCATTTAGACCTTATTCTGCTTAGCAGAGCATGTATAAAAACTCATTTTTATTAAATCTTTGTTCTTCTTTTCATGCTAGATAATTACATTTGATTCGTTCAGAAGAAAAAGAAGGAAATGTACTTATCCAAATCTGTATATATACATTTGACTGAAAAGTCAACGTTTTCTTTAACTATTCTTTGCACAGACATGAATAATGTATCAATTAAAACACATACCACTTTAGGAAAATACTCATTTCCGGAATAGAGTAAACCAATTTGTTTCGTCCAATATCGATAGATGATTTCGATTCCGTAAAACCAAAATTGTCTTCCTAATAACACATTCAGCAGAAAAATTTGTCCGATAGAATTTAATAGATAAAGAATTTTGATGAATATATAACTAATTATCAGATAATTGCCTGAATGCCTTCGAAAAATGAACAGTCTTGCTTTTCGCATCGATAAATGTTTTTTCATTTGAAGATTGGTCAAACGATACGAATTCGAACAGTAACTATCCAACCAATTTGTTAAATATTCGAGCAATTTGATTTTATCATCTTGGCGAAGATTCGCTGAACGATATGTTTGTGCTGCTTCGGTTAAATCTTTCAAATCAACGCCACTTCGAAGACTCAATCCACGCCAGAATTGATGTGGAATGTAGAATAGAATTGCCATGAGAAGAAGAATAAATGGCGTCCATTGATAATACTTCAGTTCATGTTCATGACGTTGATGATAATCATCCGGTAGAGATTCATGCATATCAAATGAATAAGTATTTGTAATAAAACATATCTGATTGACATATTGTTCATAACTACCAGTGAATTGTGCAGGTACCTAAATCAATTTATTGATGATGATGAAACGAACAAAGAGAAGAAACGTACCCAGCATTTGATTTGATTTTCACTGAACTGACGATTAGTAACGATGATTGCAAAAACAGTTAAGATTGTGACTGTGTGTGAGTAATTCAAACGATCGAAGAGATCGTCGTCGAATTTATTATACGCAACAATCTCAGGTAAACGTCGAATTATACCAACGAGATCCATAGACTAACAAATTAATTAACAAGAGCAGGCAGAATCATTGATTTCTGAAAGGAAGAAATTTACATCGAGACTCGTCTCTTGTGTATAAGAAGAGAAGAGTACAAATGACTAAGCTGCGTGTTAATCTGCTAGTCTTGTCATCTAATCTTTATTAGAGAGTGACAGTTGATTGCATCATAAGAGAAGAAGGAAGGAAAATAGGATCGAGAGATTTCTTTTTCTCGTGTTCCGGCGACAATCGACAATAATCAATCGATCAACTGTGACAGGTTTAACATACCATATTCTGATATGATTTGATAGCTCTTCCATCCTTTCGATTACATCATTTCCATTCACTCCCGACTCATGCCTGAGTCTTATCTTCTCATCGGAAATCAAAGATGGAGAAGACAACGATGAAGAGAAAAAGTTCTCTTTGAGACAATCGACAAGACAGGTGCAACTTACTTGATAATTGACATTTTGATTTGTGATTTAAGATGACATACGAGACAATCTTTTTCGACAATTGAGAGAACTTGCTGACTTCTAATATGCCACTATTCACCAGCCGGGTGGTCCGTGTATGGTAGACGAGAGACAATTATAGTGTATCATTATCATTATAGACAAAATAAGAGAATGTATTGCGGCAACTCGAGGCAAACCTTTTATCAGCATCGTCCTGTTCTTCTTCTTCTTCTTTCTTTTTCTTGCCGATGGGATGATTGACCAGTTGAAGAAACAGAAGTTGAACCAGATTGGATGTTACGCTGTAGAGTATATTGATACTAATAAAAGTCTTGTAGCCTTCTATGTTTGTTCTTCTATCGTCTAGTAAGAATAGCGTTGGTCGTTCATTCTATTTCTTTTCTTTCTTATTCTCTTTCTTTTTTCCTTGCTAAAACATAATGAGAACCAACCGGACACACGCAATCCTTGCAAGATGATGATGATGATGATGACGACGACGACCAGTTGGAACAATTATTGAGCTCGACGACGGGAACGATCCAAATTAGTTTTGCAGATGAATGTCACTACAGTTGGTCATTTTCTCAATCAGTGCACAATACATACATACACACGCGCATATGTCACAACAGAATTAAATTCAATATGACCGACATATGCGGAAAGTTTTTCTTAAGAATAAAAAAAAAAGAAAAGGAAAAGTGTAGCGAACAAGAAAAACGCAAAAGAAACGGAGAAAAAGAAGAAGAAGAAGAAGAGTTTTTCCTTCTTCGTTCACTCACACATACTTTGTCATTCTTATCTAAGTACTACGGAAAAGATTAGCATGAAGAAAAATATAACGATGAACGTGAATATATCGCGTGGAGAAGTTCGCACACGCATGCACTCAATAATTACAATGTTTCTTCCCACTCATTTTCCCAATTCTAAACGTCCTCTGTCCGTTCGAAACAAACCGGAACGCTTTGGGACTATCAAGATATCGAGTTACTATTTCACAAATTCCTTTGTTTTGAATAATTTATGCGGCAACTTTGGCCTTGTTTTAGTAATAAACCTTGAACTGTGTAATACCGATCTTGTTCGGAGATAATCAATGAATTACACAAAACTCTCTCTAAGTGCTCATCGTTTTCTGTAGTTCGAGAGAAAAACATACATCTCGTTAGTAATTCTAACAAAAACAACTCATTTATTTTCTATTGAAACACTAGACAACTTTATTATCTAATTTAATTATGAGAAAATTCAATCTCAATTCACAATTGAACTGTTCGATGAAGACGAGAGTTTTGAATTTCTCCCAATCAGAAGTATTCTTCGAAAGAAAAGAAATTACAGAAAGTAATTTACATTTGAAATGAATGAATTTACTTAGAATACCAATGATCTACGCAAACATTGAAGCGGAACAATAAACATGAATTATGAATTAGATAAGTAGGGATTATTTGCGCAATAAATCATTCTTTTTCACCAAGAGAAAAAAAAAGAATGGATTGCTTTTTTTGTCTTTGCTTAAGAGGATTGAATATTTCTCCAGATGAAAAGAATAACTGACCTCGGATTTGCTCGAGTAACTTTTATCTTTGTTTGGTGAACAGTTTTGATTAGTTTATAGATGGAAATTGTTTAGTCAGACAAAAATCACAATCGAATGATGAATCGTCGATGGTTTATCTCGTGATAAGATCTCTTTTAATTCATTACGGAAAGATGTTGAGATACAATGTAGAAGATTTGATGAAAGAAATTATCGGAATAGCGTAGGAAGACGGAAAAATATATGTTTATATGTACAATCAATATTTTTGTCATTAGAACATAAATGAATAATTAATTATGATGTTTTTTTAAAAAGAATTTGTTGTACGGACAAATCCGTGTGTAGGGGCTATTTGATAAGTTGGAATTGTGCTTTGGAGAAAAGGATTCATGGGGTGAACTACTTGCATCCTTTTGTGAAAATTTAATGCATCAGCATTTCCTTTGGAAGGTGAAACTAGGTTTGGTATAGGGAGAATGAATACGTTGAGGAGATTTTGAATGCATGTACAAATAAGATTATTCTAATGATAAAGTAACAACCTGTTGGACCTGTTTTGTCACGTTTTGTTTCCATCGGAAATAATTGATTAATATTTATCTGACAAAGTCTCATCGATGTAACTCTTTCATCATATAAATCACAAGAACTACAATCCATAAACGAGTAAAAGACAATTTTGTCGATGGAATCGGAACGCCATTCATCTAGACTTGTTGTCTTTCTGATTTTACATCTCAACACATAAATTATCGTATCAACCTGATGATTTCATAATGAGAAGGTGGAGTGAAGTTACAAAAACGGCATAATATGTCCAAGTAGAAATGCAAATAAACAGGCACGTTTGCTATCTAAACTCGACATTGACAATAACAACAGGCAACTCGCTAACGACTGTCTCTATTTAGTTAACATTTATCTGAAGCGAACTTATCTCATTCGAGATGTCTCCAAGTTTGGACATGATCAGTCAGCGTAAGAAAACTTTCTCGAAAAATAATCTTTTGCTCTCGTTAACCTCACTTCTAGTACATCACTACTAGTCATCTCTCTCATGACTTTTTTTGTCTTCTCTCGCATAAATATCGACTGAGTATTCTCGAGAGGACGGAAATGAACGTATCTATATATATATATATATATATGATGAAATTGAGCGCGATTGATTGCACAGATAACATGGAAAAATTGAATCGAATTCAATAAAATTAATTCTAGTGCTTGATTATATTAATCTAATCAATCGATGTATTCGTTAGCGTTTTTCTCTTATCTCTCTCTCTCCCTCTTCTCTTCTCTTCACGGCGAATAGTTTCTTTTTATCGTTCATAACCTTGAAGCATGCGTAAATGTCTCTTCATAGTTTCTTGAAGACGAACTTTTCCATACTCATTTCTGTCATTCTATTTGTTTGTTTGTCTGTCTATCTGTCTAGAATGTAACGCAAGATACTGTAAGATTTCTCTTTTGTCGTTCTCATTCAAGCTTCTCGATTTTTCAAAACCCAAACATATCCGTTAAGAGAAGCAGGACGGAGATGAGAAACGTGGTACTATTCACTACTGAAAGCTAGTTTATTGTCACATCATATTCACAAATTAGAATGAGCTGTTCATTTGTTTGCAGGCATGTGCTGAGCATAGCTGTGTGCTGTTTCCGTTGATATTAATCAAAAAAGAAAAACTAGATGAAAAGAAAGTCGAGTAAAAGGAACACAACAAAAGCATCGATTTGGATGTATTGAAAGAAGAAAAAAGAAGAAGAAGAAGAAAAAGAAGAAGAGGGAATAGTTGTTAGATGATTATTATTAGTTGTTTGAAAGACAGACACATAAGCTGATAAAGACTCGACACATATGTCAATCGTTTCAGTGATAGACATCTTTATGATGTGTCTTACATTTGACGATCGGACTTCTGATGTCCATCAGATAACTTCAACGATTTCCCTTTGCCTTTTTTTTTTTATACATTAATGGAAATTCTAGTCGGTTTTCTGTCTGTGTTTAGAGGTACTAAACATATTTTTCGTTCTACCGGATGATGCAAATGTTTCCGATCGTTATTATAGCTTGTTGTATTTTTTTTTCTTCTTCTCCTTGTCTCGTCTTTTGTCTCTTTCATCGGCACGTCGAACAGGAGCTAATCAAACCCAACACAATTACAGTAAGCACTTATCTATTGCTGCTGTTTTTCTATACTGCGAGTGTTAGCTTCTTCTTCTTCTTCTTCTTCTGCAGGAAATCGACGTCGGTAGTTGTCTGCTTAAAGAACACGCACATCTCGCTGTGTAGACGATAGAAATCTTCATTAAATAAACGCTTTTACCCTCCGACGAAGAAATCATTTCACTATGTTGTTAATGATACGATATTTTAATCATCTGACGAACTGATAGACAATTACGAGTACATTCTTTGGATATGAATATATTATTGAAGTTTCTATGACGATTGTACCTCGAGGTGAAGTCTGATTAATATTTTTTTTTGTATGAACCATATCCGAAGGATATTTAACTTATACTTTGATTTTAGATTAAACCGATGAAATTCTTCTTTGACTATCGGCTGTTTTAAGACTAATCATCACTATACCACTCGATCATTTTTTCTTTTTTTTCTTATTATTGACTTTTTTTGTCTATTTCGTCGTTGAGTATTTCTCCAACACAGAAGGAAGATCAAACAAACGATTAATAATGCATTCGATGGTAGCTGCATTTAGTCCATATACCGTTAAACGACGTCGAGTTGAAATCGTTCGAGGTTATTGTTGTCGTTTTCTCCAATGTAGTTTTCCATGTGGCATCGTTATGCTCGTACTTTCAATTTTATTCATCCTGGCCGGTTCGATTCAACTTATCTACATCATTCATTTTAATGGTTGTAACACAATATCAACATCCGATTATGAATTTGACGAAGATTCGTCGATATCATCTCCACTAACATCATTACCATCAGCATGGAATTGTAATCGACAAACCATGAAAGTTTTAGGCATAACATTCACTGTCACGGGCGCAGTTCTATTTTTTATCGGTGTTCTGGTGACGAAATATTCACGTTTGAGCGAGGAAAATAATGTGATACGCACGCCAGCATCATCGCTAATACCTAATCATCCGAAAACATCAGTGACGAGTCATCATCATCCACATTATCCAACTTCGCACTATTATCGTACACCATCCGGTTCATTAAATGATACAAATACAATTGTTGTTTCAATTCGATAGTTCAATTTTCTCGCTGTCTTCAATCATCATATCATTGTACATATTCTTTTTTGTCTTTTTTTCATCATTGTTGTTTTTTCTGTGCTAAAAAGATAGAAAAGTAGCAGACATCTATATCTATATACGACATATAACAGCGTCTTATAATAATTACTCGAATAACCTTTTTCGACGTCTAATATCTTTATTTCCGACTAACTTATGTTGATCATCAAGGAGAACTGTGTCGATTAGTCTTTAAAAGAAACATACCTAACTAGTTGACTTAGATAGAATAATTCTTTTTATAATTTTCTTCCGAATCTATGTTTGACTTAGGAAAGAAATGAAAGGTGAGCTGGATGAAAAATGCATGCTATAAAAAAACAATATTTAATCGCCTTGGAGAGATAAGTGTGATTGGAATTTGATCTAATTTGACAGAAATCTTCTTTTCCGACGTTGTGATGTTCAATGATAATCTCATGAGGTCAAATGGTTTTCCTTCATCTTTGAAATTTGATGAAAATTTAGAAAACTTGTCTTATCTATTCATGTGTAAGAACAATTCGATCATTAATTGTTAATCAACCTTCGACTGATTTGCCTTTGTCTAATGGTTGTTTTCTATGAGAGTAACGAGACAATATAGTATTTATCTTTGGTGAAAACATTGATAACATCGGTATTGGATTGTTGATTGTGATATATGACATAAAGATATGAAAGAATCGAACAAATCTAAGTATGATAAATGAATTCAGTGTTGTGACATTCGATTTATCGTTTGTTTTTCCTTCGAGTGACTGTTAGTTGATATTCAAAGAGCGAATAGTAATAACGATAAGATGGAAAAATGACAAGAGATAAACAAATGAAAATTCATTAAATAGCCTACGAAGGAAATAATATCGTGTCAAGTATGAGCTATTCGAAAGTAATATTTTCGATGAAAGATTATGTCATAGACGAGGTTAGGAAGACAAAGAAGTAGCGATCAGCAACATTTCGAGGACATTTGCTTCGCCAGTCATGCGATGATTAATTGCAATAACCTGTACTTTATCTATAATTTTAGATGTGTTTATTATCAGAATGACAGATATTTGAAGGCATAGCTTAGTTTCAAGGTAATTATTCGGATTTGCAGAGGCCGAATCAATGAGAGAAATGGCCTCTTCGTATAATTCGGTTGAATCTGAAAAGTCTAATTATTAATCGAACGAATAGATGTGACATCAACACGAAGAGTAGCAATTAACTGTTGACACTTGGATAAATACTGAATTAACTATTAAATCTGATAATTATTATATTTACTTTGAGACACTCAAAGTGCATTTACTTTCGTCGACACAAAGAGACGTATCTTTGTTTCTGCATATGAATTGTTGTTTTTCTTTATTAGCATTGATCAATATGTTTTTGTTGATTGTTTACATCTTATTTTATCATTAATTCTCTCTTCTATGTCTTTTTCTTATATTTTGTGTTTGCATGCGATTGCTCTACTTGTTCCTCCGACTCGTTTTCTCCCTTCGATTTCTCTTCGTATTTTACAGACACGCCAATCTTTTCATCATCATCATCCTCATCATCATCATGTCGATATTCTCTTCTCCTCGAAGACTGTAACGCCTGTTCCGACACATTGCAAGTACTGACAACGTGCCATACCGAAATCTTCTTTCTCTTTCTCTCGCTTTCCCAGTCGTCTACAAGCACATGTCACAACGACAATCTTAACTGTCAACTTTCCATCATAAGTCATCGTCCCATGCAACCTAACTTTTCAATACCGGTCGATACGGTAATTATCAAAGATCCACTAGCCGAAAAAGCAAGTACGACACTTTTGAACTCGTCAAATACCAAAACTCAACATCATCTGTATCATTATTGGACATTGAATGAACGTTTAAGATCGAAAAATGAAAGATTAGTCAAAAGGCAACAGTCTTCATGTCGTCTGGCCTTTTATTGTCTATGGTTATTTCTCTTCGGCGGTATTTTGATTGTCCTTATCTATCGTTTCACCGATGAATGTTCACTTCTAACGATCGATCGAAAACAGCTAGTTTTAAGGTGTTTTCGTCATCTATTTCTTTTTGCTGCGCTCTCGTTAAGTTTATGCGCATGTACCGGAGTTGTGTGTAGTATTTGTCGATATTTTCGATCTCAACCGAAACAATTCCTTGATGACGATGAATATAAATCTTATTTAAAGAAAACAAATGACGTTTTAGTAACCATTCCTCCCCTTCATGCGTATTCTTACGAAACATCGATGACCAATGGAACATCGAACTTATCATCTCATCGTATATCGCATCCGTTTGATGAACATTCGAATACAACGATGAGTTCATCCTTACCGAATGCATCACCACTACGAAAGATTCCTCCATTTACGTATGAAGAATTTCCATCTAACCAAAAACATACACATGCAGTTTTGCCAAATGTAATTGTCACTTCGAATCCTTTAAATCCAAGTAAAAGTGCATTTTTCTCCTCGTCAACATCTGACTTATCATCGCCGCAATCGAATCTTTCAACAACTATAATAACGAATAATATTCCTCGTCCAACCGCAATGAATTGTAATAAACATAAACCACCATCGACATATGAAGATCCTTGTGCAAGTACACCCACGTCGTATACAACTTGTGCGTGTGGTATCGATGTTTGGGAACGACAACAGAGTTCTATGTCTCGACCTCCACCACATTGAAATTCTTCTTCGTTTTACCTAAACACATATTGACATTCATCTAATCATTTTAGTCACGGGTGCTACGATTGTTAATTTCATTGGATTTTTCTATTCTTTTTTTTTTTATCAACAAAAGAAAAGATATTATGTCTATACGACCTAATCATATCTTTTTCTGAATGATTTCATAATTCTAACGTATTTAATCAAAAGAACATCAACACGAAAATTTTGTCTTATCAGTTTTTTCCCTATCGAAATCGTAGCGAATGATAACAAACTATCGTCTGTTGATAGAATTCATATCCTAATTAAATTAGTCGCTTCAAGAAATACTAGTCAGATGCAGGAAAACTACTGCAGTTATAGATAGTTAATGTTTATTTTCCTTATCCGTTCTAATCGAATCAGAATATCCACGTACGAGAAGAGAACTGCTCGTTTGCTTCGTCGATCGAGTTCGCGTTGCCCTTCGACGTGATCATTTTTCATAAACATTTTCGAGATAAGATTTTTTCGACGAATTCTCTATTGACATGATAGGATAATTCATTTGCAATTAGAAAGAAAATATTATTGAAAAAAAATACTGTGACAGTCAGTGGCCGGAAAAAAGAGAAAACACATATTGACATATGTGAGAAAAGCAAAAGATGGATTGTTCGAATTAATTTTGTCGTTTAGGTTTGCCTAAAGATTTGGCCATAAGCGAAACAAGTGCTTTCATAACATTGCCATTTGTTGATTTTAATTCTTCGATGGCTTGTTCTCTGGTGAATCCCTTCTTGGTTATTTCATTGATTAATCGTTCGGGAAAAGGAGATGGTGGATCGAGTCGTCGAGACGATTGATTATTAGAATTACCTATACAAAGAAATTTTGTTTTGTCGAAGAAAAACGGAAAAGTATGGCTTGAAATTTACCAGATGCTACTGCCGTAGATTGTAAAGGATTCTCAGTGCGGTCAAGATCAGCTGAACCAGGTGTATTTCCAGTTAGCCGAGCGTGTAATGGTAATTCCGATTCAGGTAAAAAAGATGTTTCAACGCTGTTTTCGATTCGCAGAACATTTTTATCCAAATCAATAACACACTGAAAATATGGAGTTCTCATCGGAAGAAAGAATGGAAAAGGCAAGTTTACTCGGTGACGACGAAGCATATCAAGTCCGATTAACATATCAATTGATTGTTCTTCAAGTACGGATAGTGACGTAGCAAAAAATTGCTTTTCGACTTCAAGCTGTGCTAAAATAAATACCAAGGATGGGAAAAACAGATGACATCTTAGCACCAAACAGACCTAAATGAATACGTCCAAGGATTTTTTGTGTTCCAACACCTTTAGCAATGCCTTGGAAACGTGTATCGATAAGACGCATTATTCCGCAACGTTCCGCACACGCTTTACTCATAATGGTCATCTGTGCACCAGAATCAACAAAAGCTTTCACGGAATGACCGTTGATTTTACAATTCTAATCAGAACTCAAGCAATAGAAGATCATTCCTCTTCTAATTTCTTACGATGTAGAGCATGACAACATTTCCAAAGAATTCCGGGGCGTGTTCATATGCGTGTTCCATATTATCCATGACATTTTCCATACTACGAGAAAAAACGAATAGAACGATGAAAATCTTTGCTTTTTTGCTTTACTTAATGCGCTGTTCGATACGCCGTTGTATTTCTGGATCGAGCAGATCAACCTCTGGTTGTCGCTCTGTTGTTCCACTCTGACGAAGTGCCATTCGACTCATTAGACATTGCATAAATGCCACTGATGAGAAATTAGACAAGTGAGAACTGTTTTACTTTTAACGGTTGTCACGTACTTATATCATTTCGTTCGATCGCATCAGCTAGTTGAGGATCATTTTGACGAAATTCCTGAAGAACGGTAGGATTCGAACGCAGTTGCTCGAAAAGGTGTTGTGGGTTATTCGCTTAAAATGCAACGAGATTTATAGGAGAAAAATCCTCAGTAGAACATACGATCCATTTGAAAACGTCGACTCGTCGCTGCTTCCTGTTCGTTGCGATTCTCATTGACTTAAATAGAAAATTAAATCGAGAAGGAATTAATCGAATTATTCGTCAGATTTCAATTAATAGAATAATCAAATCAAATACCATTCACGCATATTTTCTCGAAAGTGCACAATCGTTTCTCTGTTCTCTCTTTGAATTCTAAAGGAAAACTTACGTAGCTTTCGTTGACAGGTAACAACATCATAATCTTTGACATTTGCTTGTTCGAGAGTCTGATTTTCATCGCGAAGTAATCTACCATCATGATAAAGATTCATCTGAACTGCTTCAATTCCGAAATCAGTTTCCGATGCAATTATAACTTTCAAATCTTTTAGTGTTAAGTCCGATGGTATCTCTATCGTCAATAGATCATCACTGTCCCCGAAATTAGCTATGGAAATATGCATTTTGACTTCGTTCGAATAAAACAAAACAACTTTTTATCTAAAACAAACACACAAGTATTAGTTTTTTCGTGCTTTTTTGAATATTGGTACAAAATCATCATTGTCTCCTTCTTCTTCGTCAAGCTGCTGTTGAAATATAGGTTTAGGTTGTGTATGTACATAGGCTGGTGTGACCCATTTCGGATTTCGCTCCGCTTCTTCAGCATGTTTTAGTAATTCCGCTCGTGGATCTTCTTTTTCATGAAGATTCGATCGGGTCATTGTTTGAACGATATGTTGATGCAACGAAGATGGTTTCTTGTCTCCTTGTGGATTCTTCTCCGGATATATTTCGCGCGTCTCTTCAATCGGTTCAGATGAATCAATTGGATTGATGTTTGCGATGAAATCATTTGTCGATTTGTCTTTTCTCTCCTTTCGATTCAAACAAAGACGAACTCCAGCCATTGGCGAACGCTCTTCGTCATAAAAAGCTCGAACAAGACCATTGTTTGTCGTCGCGAAAATTTGATTTAATTTCGGATGCCAATTTGTTCGAATAACACTGTCATTAAAGAGAATTTCCTCGATCGGTTTCGACAAATCATTCCGATTGAAAATCACCAATTTACCACCCGAATCTGATTCACTTAAATTATTCAATTTCGACACACCAGTTACTAGAAATTGGTCATTCGGAGAAAATGAGATATTCGTCATGGAGAATTGATTTGGTAGATTTTCATTTAAGGATAAACATTGATTAAATTTTCGAATGTCCCAAATCTTTAACGTATGATCTGTTGATCGTGATGCCAATATCTGATTATCATATGACCATTTTAATGCTGTGATCGAATGATCTTGTAAATGTGCGTTGACACATTTGAATGTTACATGAACAAATGACCGTCGACGATCCCAAACAAGTATATTACCGTTCTCACAACCAGCAGCAATTAAATTACAATTTTCATTGGAATATAAAGATTGACTGTATGTACAAGTTGTTGTTCGAACATCGCGACCCGATTCGCCCTTCGTACGAATTACATCGACTTGTTGATCGCGTTTATTTAACGACCAAAGACGCAATGTACAATCATCGGCGCATGTCATAAATTCTTGAGAATTTACCGATGGATTCCAACAACCATAATTTAGCAAAGCTTTGTGACCTTTCGTGCGATTCATATCTTTGACATACATATCACCAAGTACGGTTTTGTAAACAATATGTTTTCCAGAAGCTGAAAGAACCCGAAATGATTATATATTGGATTTTTATCAATAAAAATACCTTCTCGATTGACTACAATCGCTTGACAATCACCAGGAATGATTAAAATCATATCGTTATTGGCACTATATTCAATTGCACGCAATAATCGTCCGGGACAAGGTTGAATTGTTCGGAATGCTTGAAAATGTTTATCCATTGATGTAAAGTCAAACATTTTCATAGTTTCATCATGTCCACCAGTAATCATACGAATTCCGTTGGAATCCAACGTTAAACACGAAACAGTTTTCAATCCATGAACAATGTTTACATGCGACGAGATCGGTAAAACATTGTCATCTTCTGTCTCCTCAACATCGCTCTCACTCGAACTCGTCTCAGTCATCTAAAACAAAAATCAACACTGTTTATTACGAAAGAAATATTATTGCATAGAATAAAACTGTTTCCTTCATCGTTTACTTTTCATTAAATAAAATGGCTGACTAAGAGAAAATGTTCATACATTGTACCAATCGAGAAAAAGAAGTGAAAAAATCATAACAAGTAAGAAAAAGATCACCCAACGACGCATTTGAGCAGTGTTTCTGATCGCATCACGAATGTGTATAATCGCAGCAGCTAAGTCATCATTACTTGCCACTGCTGCGGCATCAACATTTTGAATGAGATCCTTTTGACTGAAGATGTTATCAAATAATTCGTTCTGTAGTTGAGCAATTTCGACAACTTGAGTTGATATGGCGTGAATTTCCTCACTACGTTGTGCGACATCATGATACAAGCGATCATTTTCCAATTGTAATTGATGTAATTCAGTCGACTTCAATGGTGCTGATGGAATCTGATGCTCTTGTTCATCTGCGTCGAATTGCGAAATTCTGGTGACGATCATTTCCGAGCTAAAACTCAATTTTATTGAAAATTTTCTCTTTGACAATCGTTTACTTGTTCTCATTCTTGGTATTTTCGACTAAATTTTCCGTTGTATTCTTATTAGCGCTCAAAGTGACTCGTAGGACGTCGTTGTCTAATCTTCCAATTTTCTTCCTTTCGGATTCACGTTTGTATCGTAAACATTTTTGTTCACTGTAAATCTTTGTACATTCGACAAGATCACGTTCTAAGTATGCACAAACTAACTCGAAATGTGCACGTCGTTGTCCTTGAAAGCAAATCAATCCAATCGAAGATTTCAATTCTTCAAGATTGTCTCGACAACGTTTAATTTGTCTCTCGACATGCTGTTCGTAGTCATGCCGTTGTTCGTCATTCATAATCTTGTTTGTTGAAGAGAGAAGGTAAATTGGACTAAGATAATTCGTTCGAGATTCTAATAAAGAATATTTCAGTTTTGTGATGTCACTTAGAATGATCTTTGCTTGAGATAAAAATCCTGTTGAGATTTTTTCATTCTTTTTCGAACGTTTGCCTAATCCAAGATTGAAATCACTCGAGATTTGCTTCGCTTTTATGATTGCACGAAATGTTTTGGTTATGTCTGTCATCTAGAACATAGAACTGATGTTTGAACATGTCTTGTTTTTTCTTTGAATCATCATTTATTGAATAACAGAAGTGATCTTTTAAAGATCAAGACACAATACGAACAACTAGATTGAGATTGTTGTTGTTTACAAAGATGAAAATATAGATAAGCTTTTACTCTACATTATGAACATTAGACACGATGAAATGTTTAGATTTTATGTGGTGGTTCATCGTTGCCACTGTCTTTTTCATCATTTCGTTTCCGTTTTTCACCTTTCGATGATCCTAAATTCGATTGATAATGAATATAACATTGTTCTCAAAATGAAGATTTACCTTCGATTGGACCTTTTGGAACATCTTCTTCGGATAAATCATCATCTTCGTCTGAAAAACATGTTTAAATAAGACAGTCAATATTAGACAAGAATTAACTTACCAGATTCTTCCTCGTCGTCTTCATCTTCATTTCCTTCGTAACTTTCTTCATCATCGTCACCATCTTCAAATGTCCCATTGTACAAGGCTTTCAAACCGGTTTTACTATCATCCTAAAGAATATACTTGTATAAAATCATTACAAGTCCATTCATTTCGTTTACCTCTTCGTATTCTTCATCTTCACCATCATCTTCTAGAACAAATTTCAAATTTGCATTCTATACGAAGAAAATTTTCTGTTGTACCTTCATCTGATTCAGCATTTTCATCATCATCTTCATCGTCACTATCCCTTTCCACTGAAATATTATCAAAAAAAAAGGCTAAATCGAATGAATTCTGCAAAACTTACCACCGGTCTTATCGATATTATCCAAATATTTCAATTGAGGTAAGATATTGAACACTGCTTCTCGATAACCATCGATTGTAGTCACTTCGCAGTTTGCCAAATCCAGCGTAGATAATTTCGGTAATTTCGCCTTGATTGACAACGGGGAAAACAAGTAAAACGTATGAGTCTTCATTTATTCTTACCAACGGTTTGAGTTCATCGATGGATTTGAACTTGTTTCCAGCAAGGATCAATAAGGATAGATTTGGACAACCTTCGAGATTTTCCAAACCCGAATTTAAACGATTATCACTTAGATAAAGCTATAAAGCAAAAAAATTTCAATAAAAACACTGTCATATTCATCTACTTTTCGAAGATTAGGCAACGCAGGAAATTTCGTAAGTGATTGAAGACCCACATTGATGATTGAGAGTACTTGCAGATTAGTAAATTCATCTGTTAAACCTTGAATATACGAACATCGAGCACAATTGTCCAAGACGAGTTCAGTTATCTGATGAGAAAGTCATTCACAAAAACGATTCACAAGCTGAAATCGAAATACGCACTGATTTTGGTTCGCGACATTTCAGTTCAAGTGAAACACGTTGTGCCATTGAATTTTGTTCAGTAGCAACATTATTTTCATCTTGGACATTTTGTTCCGACATGATGATGCAGTTCGAAATCTATTGCTTTGTTTCTTCTTTAGATCGAATTTGTCGAGCAGACGAGTGAAATGAATCACTTGGAAAACATTCGGAGGAAACAATAGCGATACGCGGACATAGACAACAGTAAAACAAATGTCAAATAGTATTCGTTTGCATACAGATGGCGGTAGTGTACCAAACTTTCAAGTCTTTTGCCATATGTTCTTTTTTGTTTCGAATCGCAAGTATAGGGGAAGAAAATTCGATGGCTTAAGACACAAAAGAGTGCGTCGTTTAACGATAATGAATGCATTGAGGTGAACATGAAAACGATTTTCTCTGTTTCGAATGACTGAATAAGAAGATTTCGATTAACTCTATGCTTGTTTATTGATAAATCGAGTATGCACGAACTTTTATCAAATTACAAAAAATGGAAAATGGCAAGAAAAATATGCATGAATGAAATGAAATGTGTAAAAAAATCATGAAAGTCAATTGTGAAATCTTTTCATATGTGATGATGATGGATCTTGTTTAGAAGGCAAGAGGTTTGACAACACTTCGTCGACGTTTGCCGAGATTGAGGCCGAGAAGACCGCCACCATTTCCCTTGCTCAAGGGACCATTGAGACAGCCTGGGCAGCCAGTAACTGCTGAAAGAACGCCAGTTATTGTGCCGACAGCTGAACCTAGGACGTTCTGGAGTGTGCTACCAACGCTTGATAATACTCCGAAGAGTTCATAGAGAATACCGTTCAATAAGTCGGTAACCAATTGGCCAATTCGGGCGACCAAATATAAAACTTCGGCAAGAAGAGTGAGAACTGCTTGTGATAAAGATTTCACGGCTGGAATGAGCTTAAGATCAATAAAATCCAAAATTTGATCGACTGATTGCTCGATGAGTTTGAGTTGTGGATGAATGGTTTGTTCAAGACTGCTAGTAACTGAATTCGAGAGTTTCAATACTTGAGCCTAAGCAGTGAATACGAAGAAAGATGCTATACGGAAAAAATAAACAAAGATTTGTTTAACTTACGAGGAGTCCAGTCAATACATTGTTGATACCGCCGAGGAGGTTTCCCAAAAGGTTAAGAACCACGTTCAACAATGAAGCAACAAGGTCGAGAACAGCTTTGAGAACTTCACCGAGTGCACTGACAACGTCGGACAGTGTTGTAACAACAGCACCAACAGCACTATTAATTGTACCGACTGCAGTGTTGATGACATTGGCAGCTGCTGAAACGGTGGCATCCAAAGTTATCTCAGCTGCTTTAGCAAGTGCAGTTAATTTATCTGGGAGTTGGTTGACAATACTTGTTAATTCTTCAGTTTTAGTGCGATCGACAAGACCAGCCTTTTGTTGTCCGATTCCATTTATTAAAGATTGTGTTTGATCTTTCGTGGTGTCCATCATATTCTTCAAAAGTCCCGTAACAGCAGTTTGAGCATTGCTTGTTCCATCAGCGTTGATCTGTAAAAGTGCTGCGAGCACCAAACACATTACCAAACCCCATCGTGCCATGATTTTCTCCAATAAGTCGATGTAAACAGCAAATACAAGAGATATGTGTCGATTTTATCAACTGACGAACGAATACTCACATATCTTTCCCTTTTATACCATCTCATCTCTTCATACACATTCACTTTTTTCCATTATTTCTCATCTATTAAACACGCTCGCATAGAAAAGCTCACGTCAAACCTGCACTCAATACAATTTACTAAATATATCACCATTTTCTTTGTTATTTTCGTCAACAAACAATACACGCGCATATTCACGATCATGAATCTTCGATCACAGAATAACTCAACCATGTCTTTTGTCTTCATTCAAACCAGCAACGACTCTCTCTCTCTCTCTCTGCCTTTCTTCTGCGCTTCTTTCTACTCAATGATTGACGTCAATTCATCCATTGAAATCATTGTTCGATGACGCTCTCTCACCTATCGTCACCATCGAATCTTCTCTCATTCACTTTCCATTGTTCGCAGGACCAAAATAAATACTCATGCTTTGTTTGTCTGTCAAAAGTCAACGAATAATTAC